AAGCACATTGCTCTCCGCTACTTTCTTGCTCGTGAGCTACAGCAGCGTGGACAGTTGCGACTTGCGTACGTGGCCTCTGAGGCCAACACTGCTGATGTCTTCACCAAGGCACTTGCGCCTTGTGATCATCAGCGTTGCTGCACGCAGCTGGGTCTTGTGCCTGTCTTGCCTCACTTGCTCACTTCATGACCTTGCTTGTACCTTTACCTATATATACTCTTGCTTGCTTGACTCTTGTATATCTCTATATATGATCTTGCATGTGAACTGGCCTTGTGGCCCTTGAACTTGTGCTCGGAATGTGTGGTGACTTTGTGATCCACCCTGAGCTTTGCTTTGCTTTGCTTGATTGGTCTTGTGACCCCTTGTTCTCCCCCACTTTGCCTATGGGGGTGTGTCAGAACATTATAGCTTACTTATTTGTGTAGGCTATAGTGGGGTATCACATAGGGGGTACAACCCAATTAGGGTTTCCTATTTGTACTCACTTCGTTCATAGTAATTTCGTTCTCGTTCAGTTTTCCTCACATCGCAAGAGCGAATGCCCGGAAAACGCTAAGGGAAAGGGGGAAGCTGAGCAGCAGACACAGACCAAGCAGCAGGGAAACGCTGGAAGTCAGTAGCAGACGGGCCCTCTACTGACAGGTCACGCCGCTCGCCCGACCCAACCGACCCTCACCGAGTGATTGTGCCGGTTCACGCAATCGACCACACCCGGCCGAATAAGGAGGGTACCACGGTAGATAGCCCTATACTGCTCAGTGGGAAAATTGGGACGGACTTAGTTAAAATCTTCGTAGACGGGGGAGCCAGCCACAGCCTCATTAACACTGCTACAGCACGAAAACTGCGACTGCCACTGGACAGATGCTTACCTGAGATCGACGCACGACTGGTAGACGGCACGCCGCTGGCAATACGGGAACGCGTAGACCGAGTTCGGATTCGATGCGGGGGTAACTTCACGTTTAGCCAGGAAATGCTCGCAACGACCCTCGACGGAACCGACATTTTACTCGGGCGTGATTGGCTGCGACGACACAATCCGCGAATTGACTGGACGACGGGTGACTCCACCGTGCGAGTGAACGGTAACAGCATCGCCTTACCTCGCTGGGGCTCGCCTGAGTCTTCGTCGGTGCGTGTCAATGCGATCACGATGAAACGCGCTGTAGCGGCCGGAGCTGATGTGTACGCGGTTGACATTCGGGAAGCCGAGGCAGCAGACAAGGGAGGCGATTTACAGAAACTGCTGACCGACGTACCGAGTGATCTGGCGGCACTGTTAACACGGTACAGTGACATTTTCCCGGACGACTTACCGACGGGACTGCCACCTCAGCGACCGCACGATCACAGGATAGAACTGGAACCGGGGGCACAGCCAACAGTACAGCGACAGTTCCGACTGACCCAACCCGAACTAGACGAACTGAGGAAGCAGCTCGATTACCTGCTCGAGAAGGAATTCATTCGCCCGAGTTCGTCGCCCTTCGCCGCACCCATACAGTTCACACCGAAAAAGGACGGGGGTTTTCGCATGTGCATAGACTACAGGGCACTGAACAGGGTTACCATCAAATCCCGTTACCCCATCCCACGAGCTGACGAACTGATCGACCAACTGCGCACAGCCCGGGTTTTCTCGAAGATTGACCTCCGGGGAGGCTACCATCAAATCCGCGTCAACCCACCCGACTGCCCTAAAACCGCATTCCGAACACGCTACGGATCCTTCGAATACACTGTCATGCCATTCGGACTGACCAACGCCCCCGCCACCTTCCAAATGACCATGAACGAAGCATTCCGCCCGCTTTTAGATAAGTGCGTCATCGTTTATCTGGACGACATACTGATTTACAGCCCTGACAGAGCACAGCACTTACAAGACATCGAAGCAGTTTTTAAAATCCTGAGTAAGAACCGCCTACTGACCAAAGCATCTAAGTGTGAGTTTTTACAGGACCGCCTGGAGTTTTTGGGACATGTTATTTCAGCTGCGGGAGTGGAAATAGACCCGAAGAAAATTGCGACGATTCAGGCTTGGCACGCGCCGACCAACTTGACCGAGTTGCAGAGTTTCTTGGGGTTCGTCAACTACGTGCGCCGGTTCGTCCCCGACATGGCGAAGCTGACTGCCCCGTTGACTGACCTGCTGAGGAAGGGGGTTGAGTACACGTGGGGGGAGAAAGAGCAAGCTGCCTTCTCGGCCCTCAAAACCATTTTGTGCTCCCCGCCCGTCCTTCACATCGCAGATCCCCACCGTCCATTCGAGCTCGTCACCGACGCAAGTGACATCGCTGTGGGAGCAGTACTGTTGCAGGACTTCGGGAACGGCCTCCAGCCAATCGGGTACGAGTCCCGCAAGCTACACCCGCCCGAACGCAACTACCCTATACACGACCGCGAAATGCTGGCGATCGTGCACGCGTTCAAAGTTTGGCGGTGTTACCTGACTGGCGCCGACGTGACAGTACGGACAGACCACCGCTCACTACAGTACCTTCGCGCCCAACCGAATCTCAACCCACGACAGATTCGCTGGTTGGACTATCTTGAGTCCAATTTTCACTACACCGTTACGTACAAAAAAGGCGCATCCAACATCGCCGACGCTCTCACCCGCCCCACCGCCCAACTCCACGCCATCCTACTTGCCCAGACCAACCCGCTTTTAACTGGCCTATTCACCCACGGATATCGTACCGACCCATTCTTCACGACCGGGAATTCACAACAACTGGCAGAAGCAAAAGGAGTTTATTACGTAAAATCAGGCACCAACCGCATTTGGGTACCCGCGTACTCACTACTGAGGGAGCTGCTACTGCAGGAGGCACACGACGGGATTACCTCGGGACATTTCGGGGTAGAAAAAACACGACAGCAACTGCAGCGGTATTATTACTGGCCGGAGCTGTTGACCGACGTACAGCAGCACGTGGGCTCGTGCCCTACGTGTCAGGTGATGAAGAGTTCAAGGAAGCGGAAGGCGGGTCAATCGCAGCCGATCCCACCGCCCGAACGCGCCTGGCAGCAAGTAACCATGGACTTCGTCACAGGGTTACCTTCGAACCCTGGGGGTAACGACGCGGTGATGGTCGTCGTGGATAGGCTGACGAAGATGGCACACTTCGCTGCGTGCAAGAAGTCGATCTCAGCCGAGAAGACCGCTCGCCTGTTCATCGCAGCCGTTGTTCGCCTGCACGGGATACCAGCAGCAATTATCAGCGATAGGGACACGAAGTTTACCAGCAACTTCTAGAAGAACCTTTGGGAGCAGTTCGGGACCAGGCTACAGTTCAGTTCGTCGTACCACCCCGAGACCGACGGCCAAACGGAGCGGACGAATCAGACGATGGAGCAGTTGATTCGTGCCACGTGCGACGACCCCACGACCTGGGAGCAGCAGCTGCCGCTGATCGAGTTCGCGTACAACAACGCCACATCAGCCACGACGCAGCAGTCCCCGTTCTACCTGAACTATGGGCAAAACCCCACAGTGCCCATGACGCCGAGTCCGGACAACCCAACGCCACGTGCACAACAATTCGCCGAAATCCTGCAAGCTGCCCGCACCAGAGCCGCCGAAGCAATCAAAAAAGCCAACGTCATCGCTAAGCGCAACGCTGATCGCCACCGCCGCCCTGTCACGTACCAATCTGGAGATTACGTGCTGCTCGACACGCAAAATCTGCGACTGCCCGACGTACCGAAGTTACGACCGCGCTACTGTGGACCATTCCAAATCAGTCACATGATCACACCCGTCACCGCACATCTACTGTTGCCAACCGACTGGTACATCAGCCCTTCGTTCCACGTCAGCCTACTTCGCCCATACATCCCGACCACAAGTCAACTGCCGCGTCACCGCCCACAATCAATGACTCGCCCTGCATCGGAGCCGATCATCGAGCCCGAAAAAATCCTGAGCCATCGGATCCGCCACCCCACGGGAATCAGGAGGATTGAATTCCTCGTTCGCTGGAAGGACCGCACGCCAACTGAAGACAGCTGGGTGCCCCTGACCAACATCGAAAACCACCCTGCCCTGCAAGTGTACCTGAGGAGCCGGGGATTCCGTGATATACACGCACTCGCGTAGCAGAGGGGGCTTCTTAAGGGGGGGGGTAGTGTAAGGAATTTTCTCGGCATTCCTTACGGAGCCGACTACATCGCGTACAGCAACAGCCGATTGTTCGCTCGTTACTGCTAACGGGACTTCGCCGACTTCGCGCGCACTGTTTTGCCAAACCTCGCACTGCTGGCATGGCCGTGTCGGCCTACGCTTCGGGACTAGCCCGAGCCTCGCTCCAGCGTAGCACTAGCAAGCTCGCACGCACCGCGTTACCGTTTTGCATGTTTCGCGTATAAATGTTCGCTCATGCCTTCGCTCACATTTTGTACTCGTTTGACACCTTAGTGCAATTCTCGCTACCTCGATTCATTGCACCCGTAACAGGTGCACTTTCCCTTTCCCTTTCCTTGTCCCTTTCCTTCAACTTCCTCTGCCTCTTTTTCCCTTTTTCCCCTTTTCTCTTTCCTTCTCCCGACCCTTCCCTTTATCTCTTTCTCTTCCCCCTTTTCCTTTTGATGCCTCTCCCTGAGCCTTGTATCACGTGCTTCATTAAGGTGAACCACAAGGCTGTTCCAGAGAGTACCTCAACTTTATTTCTTACTGTGTTGCGAATTGGCTGTTGGAAGTTCTTGGCGAGAGAAGGTCTCCTAGTCCTTCGCTGACAGCCGCCGAGAATCGGCCTCTTCTCCTCCTCATCATCCTGGCGCTTCCCTCCTAAACTAGTCCGAGTCAGACGTTACCGCACCGAACCTTACCGCGCCTTCTCGTCTCGCTTCGCGCTTCTCTCGTTCGCCCTTAGTAGCTTCGACGCAACTTGTGGCATAAGCTTTTGAGGCGCCCCACAATTTCCACACTTCCACGCACAATCTCCAAAATCTCCACACCTCCAAATCTTCCACGAACTCTCTTTTTCCGCATGGATGCCCTTGCCGGTTACGGTTCGGACGATGACGTCAGCGACGAGGAGCCCTCGCAGCTGCCTGTCCGGGCATCCGCACCGACCGAGCCAGCTGCTGCTCCAGAACCTTCCTCATCGGCGAAGCGCGGATTTCTCGGATCCCTTCCGTCGCCGCGATTCGCGGGTTCCGCTGCCGGGCCGGCCGCTCCTTCCCCCTGGTCCGCCGGGGAAGCGGATGCGCAGGGTAGCGTATTCGCCGACTCGCGCGCGGGTTCTTCCGCCAAGGCAGGTGCGACTGCAGACGGCGAGCCGTCAGAAAAGCTCACGGACAGTCTTGTAGCCAGCCGGCCGCGGTCGGGGCTATTCGCGGCTCTCCCGCCTCCGCGACTTGCGCAGGGGTCAACACTAGGGTTGGGGGTCGGCGTGGGTCTCGGGCCGTTTGGGGAGACGAGAGATGATCCGCTGACGAGCGCGAAGCTAGGGGGACGAATAGGCGGAGGCGCGGGCGGAAGCGGGGGCGGAGGCGGAACCGGCGGAAGGGGAGGCGGAGTTGGCGCGGCTGGTGGCGGAAAGAAAGTGGTTAAGCTTCAGTTGCCGGTGGGCTCGTCCCTGTTTTCCTTTAGCGGACAAGGGAGAGGGTCGGCGGGAGGATCAGGCTCAGCAGGCGCAGGAGGGGGCGCAGGCGCAGCAGGCGCGGATTATGGGGAGGATTCGGAGTCGGACGAGGAGGAGAGGGCGCGCAAGACGCGCATACGCGAGCGCAACGCGGCAGCAGCAGCTGCGGCTGCAGGAGGGGGCAAGAGAGGGCTAGCGGCGTTTCTGCCCGCGCCTAGGAATTCCCTTGGCATGGGGGGAGCCATGGGGGGTTCTGGTTCCACTAGACTGGATCTGACAGGGGGAGGGGGAGGAGGGAGGGGAGGTGGTGGAGGGGGCGGAGGGGAAGGGGTTGGGGCAGGTGGAGGGAGTGGGAAGGTAGAGTCGAATAGGGTTGTGGGTGGGGAGAGAGCAGGGGAGTTGAGAACGGCAGGTGCAGCGGCTGGCTTGGGTGCGGCGATGGGAGGTGTGGGGGGCGTGGGGCCAAGATTGGGGGTTACGGATTCTGACTCGGATGAGAGCTCAGAAAGCGGTGATGAAGAGGGGTTGGGAGGGGTGGGGATGGAGGGGGCAGGGGTTATGGGAGGTATGGGGGGAGGGGATGGTGACACGGAGGCAGGAGCAGGGGAGAGGCGCGTGTATTCACACCCTGCCACTGAGCGTGCAAACGAACTGCAGCACTCGTGGGGTGGCGCATATAGTGAAGGGCATTATAGCGAGGGATACTCTGCATCCGCCACTGCGGTCCCAGCTCAGGGTTACTATCAGCCCGAGCAAAACCACACAGGAGCAGCAGCAGCAGCAGCAGGGACAGAGGCGGTACATCCAGGTGCTTACACACAGGCGTACCCTGATTCATCTGATCCAAGCGCACATTCACATGCGCATGGGTACGGTTACGGGTATGGCTACGACAGTAACGCGACGGCAGCAAACTCAGCAGGGCAGGGAGGAGGCATGGGGGAGTATAGCACAGCGGCGCTAGTAGCAGGGGTGCCAGAGGGAGGCTTAGGGCAGGCAGGAGGTCACACGTTAGGAGCAGAAGGGGAGGACACAGAGGCACTGGCTAGGATGGCGAGGAAGCGAGGGCGGGGGCGGGAGGCGATGGAGGTGGCGGCTGCAGCGGCGAACGTGGTGGAGGTGAAGCAGGCGGATCTGACCAAGGGCCGCGTGCGACAGGACCCCATGCGTGCCACTGGAACTGCCTTCGGCCCTGCATATGCGGTATGCATGAAGAGCTGTGTGGGGATGTGTGAGGGGCTTTGTGCGGGGACTATTGTGTGTGGCTTTTGTTTTGGGATTTGTGTGTGATATTTTCTCCTTTCTATCCTCCCCTCCTCTCTGTCCCAACCCCCCCTTCCTCCCTCCCTCCCTCCCTCCCTCCTTCACCGCATCGCAGCCGGTGTCGGCAGGGGGCAACAAGCCGTCCAAGATGCATCGGCGCAAGCACCAGATAGGCTCACTCTACTTTGACATGCGGCAGAAAGAGACGGAACTCGTAGAGCGCCGCTCCAAGGGCATGCTCAGCAAGGCCGAGACGCATGCCAAGTACGGCTGGTGATGCATGGGGTGCGGCGCTGGTGGTGCATGGGGTATGGCGCATGTGCAGTGATACATGAAGGGTGATACCGGTATATACATTTCGAGATCCATTATCTGACAAACAGAGTTCCCACTATCCTGTTTTTCTCACCCATCCACGCCTTTCAACCTCTGTTGTGCTTTGTTTGTTTTACCTCTCCTGTCCGATCAAATGTTCCCGTGCGCTGGGAATGAAGCATGGTGAGCTTGGAAAACAGAAAGCTTCAGTAAATGAATGTCATTTGCGACACACATTAGCAAGAGGTCACCTCCTTTTACCACACATTAGCCCACGGCATCTCATGCGCATGTAAATCAAAACAGCCTTTGGGTGAAATTACTGCGTCCGTCAATAAAGGTATTCGCCGATCCAGTTACCCTGCGGGTAATAATCGCTCACCCAGAGTGAATTCCCACTCGCCGCGCAATCCACGCGACCGCACCCCACCTGGGTGTAGTGGGCGCACCCCCCCGCAGAGCATGTGTTGGGGTATTTCCCGCGCGTGTAGTACTGGCCCTCATCCACCCACGCCATCTGCACAATAGCCTTGTCTGTGAAGTAACCAGTGCCAGCGTAGACATGCGCCTCTCTGCCTGCCTTCCTTCCTGCATGCCCCCCATTTCCTTCCCTTTCCTCCCTCTCTTCCTCTTCTCCCTCCTTTCCCTCCCTGCATCGCAGCCGGTGTCAGCGGGGGGCAACAAGCCGTCCAAGATGCATCGGCGCAAGCACCAGATAGGCTCACTCTACTTTGACATGCGGCAGAAAGAGACGGAACTGGTAGAGCGCCGGTCCAAGGGCATGCTCAGCAAGGCCGAGACGCATGCCAAGTACGGCTGGTGATGCATGGTGCATGGCCAATGATTCATGAAGGATCGGGAAATTGCCGAGCGATGCATGCATCACCATCACGTGCAGTGGCCTAGCCAATACAAGATAAATTGAGGCCCTGACCCGACCTCGGCTTTCCTTCAAATTTCAACCATCTACGGCTCGTGACTTGATTGCTGTGCTTCTTTGCGACCTTCTGTTCGCCGTCAGATCAGATATACTGTGTTAGGTAGTAAGCTTGAAGTTATGCATCTAATCTGAAAGCTGCACACCTACTATATCAACTGCCAGATAAATGGGATGTACTTGAATACCAGTCATAGAGAGGGCACTCTATATACAATGCACTGGCCAATCCCTTCGGCCTGTCCATCAAAGCAGCCTGTAAAGCTTTCCTGCACGAAGTAGAACGCACACGTGTTTATACGCGACACGAGTAGTCTCAAGTCGCTGTAAACCCGGTGTTGATCTGATTTACCCCTTACTGCGTCTGTCAATAGGGGTATTGCCCGATGTAGTTACCAGGCGGGTAATAATTGCACACCGAAACCATCCATCCATTCGAGCAATCCACGCGACCGCACCCCACCGACTTGGTGTTCCGCCACACCACCTGCGTGTACTGCCCGCACTGCTTCTGGCACAAGTCAGGGAATTTCCCGCGCTGGTAGTCTTTCCTCTGCTTCACCCACGCCTGCACAGCGTCCGCGGTTTTGACTCCGCAGCAGCCCGCGTAGAGGTTCTGGCCCACCGTGCCACGCCTGCTTTCGTCGAGCCCGATCACCTTGCACGCGCTCTTAATCGCCAATGCGTTCGCCCATGAGAGCGCGCTCTGCGCCACTGCGGGCAGAGGGGGAAATGAGAAACGGGGAAGGGGGGAAAAAGGGGGTGAATGGGGGGCCGGCCGAGAAGAGGGGAGGGGAAGCGGAGAGAAAGGTGTAAATGACTTCTTTGAAGCGGAGAGCGAAGGCTCAGAGCCGGTGCAGTGCGCGCGGACACAGGAGATTCGCGGGAGATGCGCGGCAGTTGGGGCGCGCACGACGAAGGGCGCATTTGGCGGGCGGGAAGGGATGCGCGAGGGAGGCGGCTTACATGACGCATTCCATTTGAGCGGCGCGATGGCGAGGGTGACGCGGGCATTATTATGCGCGTTGAGGTACGCAAGGCTCTCGGTGCTCAAGGCCTCTGGCGGTGGGGAACGAAGGAGCGAGGGAAGGGGGGAAGAGAGGAGCGGGGAAAGGGGGAAGAGAGGAGCAAAGGGAGGAGGGAACGGGGCAACGGGGAGAAATAAAAGGGCGAGCATAGTGGGGAAGCGAAGTGCCGCGGCGACGTGCAACAGCGGAAAAGCGAAAGTGAGACGGCTTTTCCCAGTCTGCTCGATCGACAACCGCATCGAGTGTTTCGTCCGACGAAAGTCTCGCTGGAGGCACCTGCGAAGACGGCTGGGACGAGCAGAAAGCAAGTTGCGAGGAGAGCTGCTATCCTTTGTACCGCCATCTTGGGAAAACGACTCTGATTTGCCATACGAACCCCTGATTCTGAAAGAAATAAATGCTGATAGTACTAGTGGCTATTGCTGTGGTTTTGATTCCTAAGATTCTGTGTGTGAAAAGGGATAGACGGCTCTCGGAGTCAGGGAATGGAAACCACTTTGGGGGCTGCTCGGCTGGGAGAGGAAATTGGGTTCATTCAGGCAGCCACTGTACCGAGGTGGTGCTTTCGCAGGTGGAACAATTTCTTGTGGAGCCCGAGCCGCCGCACATGGCGCCGCGATTTCTCATTGACAACGTTGCGACTTCAAATATACCTTATGTTTGAACAGAGCAACAGTGCACACCGTGCGCTGCGTAAGATCCCTGGACTTCGAGTTTCTGTGGGACCGTTCGGCAAATCTCGTTACAACATCCAATCAAGCCTTTCTTCGCTTCTCTGTTGCTAGAAATTTGCCCATTCCATAATGCATACCCTTACAAACCATAACAAGGCTGTCAATTGACTACAATTCAACCAGACTAGTTCTCCAGCCCAAGGCAAAACATGCGCATGCTACCCATGTCTCTCTCATTACATAACCTCTGGTTAGAGAGCAACGATACGGATCCTTCCTAAAATGCAGCCCAGCCAGAAGGCTGGCTGAAACCCTGTGCTGCGGAAGCAGCAGATGCGTACTGCTGCTGCTGTTGCTGCAGGTGCTGGGGTTGAGATGACTCGAAACCAGAAGCAGAAAAGGCACCACCCGCACCAGCACCACCACCACTACCAAATGATTCCCACCCATGCCCACCCCCAGCGGTTCCACCGCACGAGCTACCACCAGCATCAGCACCACCAGTGCCACAACCACCTACACCCGATTCCTTCCAACTGCCCGGCGCACTGCCCGGAGCATTGTTAGAACTCTCAGACTGTTGGTGGGGGAGAGGAGAACGTGGTCTGCTCACACTGCCTCTACCACCACTGCTGCTAAAGCTAGCAGAAGCTCCAGAATAGGATCCTCCTAGGTCCGCTGCTGCAGGGGGAGCAGCAGAAGGTAAAGCAGAGGAGGATGCACTGCCATAGGTTTGCCAGTACCCTTGCTCCTTCTCCTGCTGCTGCTGGTGCTGGTGGTGCTGCTGGTGCAGTGTCTGTCGCAGGTGAGCTTTAGATGGGGAGGAGGACTGCACAGTGGTATGGTGGGCTGGAGAGGAGTTACGTCGATAGGCTGCCTCACCTGCTGCTGTTGCTGCTGCTGCTGCCGCTCCTGCTCCTTGTGAACCAGCAGCTTTAGAAGCAGCACCAGCGCCTGAGGCACCAGAACCAGCTGACGCCCGTCTCCAGCTGCTGCTGCTGCTGCTGCCACCGCCGTTGCGGCTATTGTTGCTGCTTCCACCTTTGTGGGTTCCATCTCGCTTGAGAGACTCATCAGAGACAGGCACAGGGCTGCCTATGTCCTCAAACCGTAAATTGATCACCTTCTCCGCCTCCCCTTGCCCTTCCCCCTCCCCATCCCCCTCCTGCTCCCCCCTCTTTCGCAGCCTTATCTCAATCTCCTCCTCGCTCTTCCCCTGCCCCATGCCCCCTGTTTCTCCACTCCTGAGCCTCTCACCCGTCTGGCTCCTAGAACCGCCACTGCCGCTCACCGCATCATTCTTCTCAGCCCCTGCACCACCAGTAGCACGGCGAGTGGCACTAGACTCATGCGCATCAGCAGTACTGCCCCTGCTGGTTCCACTCTGCTGCTGCTGCTGCTGGGCCAGTGCGGCCTGCAGAGCAGCGATGTCTGCCTGCTGGGTTTGCACCACGAGAGTGAGCTTGTTGCAAGTCACACGCAGCTCATCCCGCTCCAGCATCACCCGCTGCAGCTCCCCTCGCAGCCGCTCCACCTCCTCTGCTCCTGCCGCCAGTCGCGACCGCGGTGGCGATCGTTGCGGGGATGCTGCTGCTGCAGCCGCCGCGGCTGCTGTTGCTGCTGTTGCTGCTGCTGGTGGTGATGATGACTTTGAAGCACCGGGTGTCTTGCGTTGCTCACAACCGTCTAAATCAACACCAGCCCCAGCCCCAGCACTTGCGCTTGCAGCATTAGCAGCAGCACCAGGAAGAGCAGCATCAGCAGAGCTGCTGCCTCTCCTCTCCTCCTCTGCTCTTCTCTCAATCTCTCTCTCTGCAGGGCCCACAGACACTCTGCCAGAAGAAGGCCTGCTGCTAGCACCTGCATCAGCAGCAGGAGCAGCAGCAGCAGCAGAGGCAGCTGCAGAGGTTGCTGCAACGGAGGAAGATGCAGCAGCAGCAGGAGGTGCAGGTGCTGCAGCACTACCTGATGATCCCTGAGTGGTTGGAAATGAGTCAAAGTTGGCCCAGAACGTCCCTGCTGCCCCTCCGGCTGCAGATGCAGCAGGAGCTGCGTTTCTGTCTGGTGCAGATTCTCTCCGTTGCTGCTGCTGCTGCTGCTGCTGCTGCTGCTGCTGTAGGTGCTGCGGCGAAGGGGAGGAGGGTCTGCGCCCAACCGCGGAGGCTGCAGGACCTGGGGTGGGTTTGGGCGTTAGCGGGGGCCAGTCTGGGCTGGCTTTGCGCATCTCAGGGGGCAGAAGCTCGTTCACCCGGCGCCAGACCTGGTGCACAAGCGAAGACAGAGCAAAGACAAAGCAGAGAGATCGAAGAGGCAGTAAGGCAGAGCAGGGAGGATGGCAGGTGGATTGAACGGAAGGAGGGGAGGAGCAGGAGGATGAGGAGGAACGGAAGGTTGACCTAACGAGCGAGTAAGGACAGCAGGACGGAAGGATGGGAGGGCGGGTGAGAGGGGGGGTGGGAGAGGGGCTGTTAGGGGGTATGCGTGGAAGCATTGCAATGCAAGGAGCAACGAACATCCAGTCTAGAGAAGCAGCAAGACAGCAGTGGCACTGCAACTGTCAAGCCGTATCCACTCTCCCCCGAGCGCCCCCTCACGCGGTCCCACGCATCCCCATTCTCCCCCACTCTCCCGCAACTCTCCCCCACTCGCCGCCACGCTCCCCAACTCGCTCCCACCACCCCCCATTCCCCTCACTTGCCCTCACCCACCCACCTGCAGCACGTCGGGGCGGCAGTGGGGCTGCATGGCGAGGAGGTCGCGGATGAGCGCGGGCACGGCGGGGGAGTAGCGCGGCGTCTCGGGGATGCTGTAGCGCCCGTTCAGCACCTGCAGCTTGGACTCGCCGTCAAACGCGGAGCGGAAGTAGGCCATGCGGTAGAGCAGGCACCCAAGGGCCTGGCGGGGGAGAGCGGGAGGGGGAGAGCGGGAGGGGGGGTGCGGGAGGGGGGGTGCGGTGCAGGCATGTTTAGGCGCCTCAGAAAGCAGTTCCCTGCAGCTTGGACTCGCCGTCAAACGCGGAGCGGAAGTAGGCCATGCGGTAGAGCAGGCACCCCAACGCCTGGTGGCGGAGAGGAGGGGAGGCCGGTTGAGGGAATGGGGGAAGGCAGGAGCGCAGAGGCTTTGGGACGCAGGGTGAGGGGCAGGACCCTATGGGTGCGAGGCGGAAGAGAGGAGTGGGAAGGAAATGGACGAGGAGTGGATGAGCCGACGCGGAGATGAGGTGATGGGCAGGTGTGTCTGCTCCGGCAGATGCAGATGTGTTAATTCTTGCATGCATGGAAAGAACCAGAAACAAGGCAGGAGGCTGCAGGCGGAATATTTGGGAGAAATCTAGCGTGTGTCTCTCGAGCAACAACCAGAGAGAAAATAAATGTGCAGAACAAAACATCGGGAAGGGTGTTGAGGGGGGTGCGTGCATGGAAGGGGCAAGAGGTAGGGTTGAAGGATGAAGTGGAGGAGAAAGGTGGAAAGAACAAGCTGACGGGATGAGTTGGTGAGTTGATCAGCATACCCATATGAAGAGGGCAAGCTGTGGAAAGGGCAAAGGTTGAGGTGGTGGGGAACATACCCATATGTCAACCTTCTCACTGAGCATTTCCTTTTGATAGAGGTCCCATAGCTGTTGTTTGATGGGGCGCCGTGGGTCAGGATGGGGGTGGGGTGGATTGCGATGAGTGCAGAACGCGGCCAAGGAAACAACGGGATGACGCATCGTGCATCGCTTGAGGATTGATTAACGTGCACATCTTTGTGTGTGTTTGCGCGCGCGCGGCGCGCGCGCGTGTGTGTGTGTGTGTGTGTGTGTGTGTGTGTGTGTGTGTGTGTGTGTGTGTGTGTGTGTGTGTGTGTGTGCATGCGTGTGAGTGTGCTTCGAGAGGGAGTAAGGGGTGAGTTTCATTGACACGTGCTACCTCATCACTATCCTGCACCCCATCAGCGCGCCACCACCCATCGCCCCTTTCGTGCCTTCCCGATTCCGTCCCTTCCACACGACTCCCCTACTCTCCCTCCCTCTACCCAACACTCCCTATCCACTCCCCTCCCCCTCTCCCCCTTTCATATCTCCCGCCGCTCCTCCCCATCCCCTCCTCTCTCCCCCCATCCCCCACTTTCCCCCACACCCCTGCCTCCCCCGTACCTCGGGGGCGCGGTAGGCGGGGGTGGTGTTGCGCCGGATCACGTCCTCTTCCAACCCCATGTCCTCCGCGCGTTCGATGCGCCGGTGCCGCGTGCTCGCGCTGCCGAAGTCGCACAGCCGCCACGACCCGTCGCCGCACTGCAGCAAGTTCTCCGCCTTCAGGTCCCTGCGCCGCGCGGGGAGGGCGGGAGGGCGGGAGAGCGGGGGAGCGAGGAGCGCGGGAAACGCGGAGGGAGCGCGGAATTGAAGGGATCACAGAAGAGTGGGAAGTTTGAGGGTGGGGGAAAGAGAGAAATTGGAGGAGCAGGAAAGGGGAAGGCCTAGGAGAGGCGTGAAAGCGGAGGTTATGGGGGTTGGGGGGGTGAGGGTAAGAAATTCAGGACGGAGGAGCGGAAAGAGGAGAGGGGAGTTGGAGTGGACCAGTGGGGAGGCAAACGACCATCACGATGACGATAACGACAATAACAACGACGACGATGACGATGACGATGACGCGGAGCGGGTTGCGGGGACGGACCTGTGCGCGACGGGCGGGTGCTGGCAGTGCATGGCGAACACGGCGTTGCACACGTCACGGAACGTGAGCAGGAGCGTCTTCTCGTCAAACGGTGTCGTCCCCCGCGCAGCCATGACATCCACGAGCGTCCGCTCGCAATGCTCCATCAGCAGAAACACCTCCTTCCGCCCACTCCCGCTCCCGCCCATCCCTCCGCCACCCAACCCACCCATACCCGCTCCACCGTGCCCCATCCCTCCCGCGCCCGCAACCGCCGCACCCGCAGACCCCAATCCGGCAGATCCGGCGGAATCTAAGAGCGCGTGCGCGTGGAGAGTGACTATATTGGGGTGGCCTCTTAACGCCATGAGAATTGAGACCTCTCGCTGGATCTGCTCCATGGCATCGGGATCGCTGCAGACGATGTGCTTTAACGCGTACGCGCGGCCCGAGTGCGCGCAGCGGGCGAGGTAGACGAAGGCGAAGCCGCCTTGAGCGATGGTGGAGCGAACCTGCACTTGAACGCGACCCACCTCCACAGCCTTGCCTTCCAACGGTCCCGCGGTCTGGTTTCCCCCCGGGCTTTGGTGACCCTCCAGGCCCATCATGTGCTTCAATCGCCACATGTTGACAAGCTCTTAACGGGGATGCGTCTTCTTTAAGCCGTTCAGAAAGGATCTAACCGGTGATGCGAAGACAGAGACAACGGCGACGACGCGACGTGCGCGATGGAAAATGGGATCGACGATGAGACGATAAGGTATTGGAGCAACTGACAGAAGGGAGATTCGCTAATTCTGGTTCGATGCCTGATCTGGGTTGCTACTGTCATAAGACGAGCAGAACGCGGGCGCCTGAATCGCCAGAAAAAAAGGAGATGTCGGCGATTGAGTAGATTTCTTTCCTCATTCACACACCAGAGTGATGTCTTATCTCAAGTATGTTTACTAAGATGCATAGCCTGCTGGAGATCCATGGAAAATGGAATCAGCTCATGGCTTCCCTTCCTCCTTCCACGGGATCACAATTTTGTGTTGGCGCCTGAAGGGTGGGCTCGACTCGGCTGTGCTGCTGTGGTTTGGGCTCGGCTAGGTTCGGCTCGGTACGTACTAGCTCGGCTTGGTCAGACCAGCCTCAGCTTGTGCGGGCGGGCGGGGCCCTGGTCTGGTTTGGCCGTGGTGGCCGGCCGAAGCAGTGAATGGGGACGGTCGATTCCGCATCATTTGTGCAGGTATATGTTATGTGGGTGCTGCAGCAACATCCATGTCCCAGCCATGCTGTAAAAATTGTTTTCGAAGAGCTATCCGATATTGTGTATAAGCGTAGGTTGCGTGGCGTCTACAGTGTGAATACTGCAACGCCAACGGAGAAGCAGAGGAACTCTCCTCCCAACCAAAACCACTTTATTGACAATATAAAGGGTACAAAAGTACACGAGTCAGGAGGTTAGACTGGTAGCTACGGTAGCTAAAAGAGCCTGTGCAAAGGAAGCAGCAGGAGTAGTCCCTCTACCACTTTCAGTAATCATTCCCCAAGTACGCAAAGTCCGCTGCCGACGGTGGAATAACTTCCGAAGGGATAGTGCTGGACGCTACTGTGAATCGAACCTGTGCCCGCCTGCAGATTGTGCGGGCCTGCTCACGCTGGTGGACGAGGGAAATGCGTTTGTAAAAACTGGTCTCGAAGAGTTGTGGAATGAGGTCAGATGAACCGCTCAAATCGCGAAGACGCGAAGCACCACGACGACTGCAGTGTCGGAGGAAATCCTGGAATGACTTCCCAAAACACCCGAAAGTCTCAACACCCTCGACGAAACCGCCACGCCAATCAACAGCACCCTCGACGAAACCGCCGCGCTCCCCACCACCACCAACCCCTTGGCCACCGCTGTACGCTCCTCCTCACCTCACCCTCAACGAATCGCACGATGATATTTGGCCGCAAGAACGAGGCTCTCTTTAGACACCACCGTTATAACAACGACTTTTGCGTGACACCGTTTGAACGCGTTGAAACATGGCCAGAAACGTCACCCTCGTCCCCCCAAACCAAAACCCTCAATGCGCAGGTTTGGAACGGCCCGGCTTGAGGTGAGGCAACCGCGTATCCGTCCAACCAATCACACGGCTTCTTCTCTGCAATTCTGGCATCCGCATCGCTTGTCACTCTTCCCCTGTCAAGCCCCCAACCAATCCCTGCGCTTGCTTGTTGCATTGTGTCAAGTGTCACACCCCTCCCGTACCGTGACCCGTCCCCTTCTGTTCCGCCCCTCTCGTCATCCCCAGCGCATCTGCGGAGTGGTCGATGACTGGCTGGCGCGGAGTTGAACGGAGTGAATGGCGGAATCGACACGCGGAATCAACGCAAACCATCAGCGGAACACCACCGAGGAGCGCGCGCGACATCACCACCACTCAATCACTCTCAACCGGGTTTTTAGCTTAGCGGGGACAGGTATCTGGAACCTTCCGCTTTCAGAGTTTGGACAGTGCAAAATGTGCACAGTTTCCGCAAAAGTCTGGGCTAGAGGGGGAGGGTTATTGTTCAGGTTAGGGATTCAAGCTCTCAACGAGCCACGTGGTTAGTCCTACACAGCTTTTTTACTGTACATCTACAATATCAGATTCTGCACTGCGCTTGTTTGTCTTTTTTACCGAATCCAGGCTAGCTCGTCAGCCCACTGTTCCCAAAGCTGTGTGGCCGTTGTTGTTTTTTTTTCTCGTCCAAATTACATTGCACCCAAAACCCTGAGAATATGTGCACCCTTCCTGACCGAAACAAAATATACCCAATCGGGAAGGGGTGCGACTCGGGAGGCATCAACCCTAACAAGAAAGAGGGGTCCCGTGTTTAGGGTTGATTCCTCCCTAAAATGCGTCCGAGGGAGGCATCAACCCTAAACACCATGCCACAAGATGTTTAGGGTTGATGCCTCGCTGACCGGATGCCTTCACGACTGGGGTTTATTGTTTTTGCTCGCGTGTCCATTGGGGTATTTCGAGTGTAATATATTGAGTAGAAACGACAAACCAGAGCAGTGGAGAATCTGTGATTGAACACCTACAGTGAGCTCTCTGTGAGAACTGGGAAACGTGGCTCATTGAGAGCTCGAGTCCCTAATCTGAACAATAACTCTCCCCTCCTAGCCCAGACTTTAGCGGAAACTGTGCGCAGAAAGCGCTACCCCTAACCTGAAAGCGGAGGGGTCGGGATACCCCTCCCTGCTAAGCTGAAAACCCCTCTCAACCGCCGCCAGTTTACCACTGAAACAGCAGCAACCACCCACTACAATATCTGGAAACCAACCCAACCGATCCAAGCCATAAATCACCTAACAAAAACAGCGGCAACCGCGCTCAGGAAACTGGCAGCAAAGACAGCCATATCCCTCCCAGGCCACACGCAATAGTACAGTTCACCAACTTCTGCACCACCTTGGCGGCAGCTTCACACGATTTTGGTGGCTCCTAGTTCAGGAATTGGCATCTCCTGTGGCACGTGCTGCTCGGGCTAACCCTTCCCCTTTCATTGACGCACCTATTACCCCTAGCTGACGCAAAGTCTTTCACGCTTGTAGCAGCGGTTTTCTTGCTTCAACATTGAGAACTCAATTTTCTTTCTAAGTCCAGTCACGTGACAGTTGCGCCTACGCCGATCGTGTGACTGACATACCGCCATAACTGTCAGTGCGTCCGCCTCACACCTGCGTAGGAAGCGGAGTTACAGAACGGGACGTGGAAAATCGTTCGGAACGTCAAGCTAATTTCTGATTAGGAGTGGTTTGGGTTCAGATTATTTTGCCTGTATGGGTTTGAACGAGAAATCGGCTGTGACGAAGGAGCAGAATGATCGTCACAAAAAGGTAACCATTTCGCCAGTCAGCCTTCATTGTCCACTCTGGTACCGTTGATTTCATGACCAGCACTTTCCACCTCATAAGAACATGCTTTCTCCTTACGAAAGCTGCCACGCTCCACCCATTGTAGTCGCTGTGCGTGTATGATCCAGTTCACGAGCAATCCTAAGCGTTTTGGAGATATGTTACTCATCAACTGTCTGGCGTATGTGTTAACTTCTCCGTGTTTTCCCAACTCGCCATATGATCCTTGTGATCAGATTTTGGACGGCCTATTGAAGCTTCAGGAAAACAGAGAGTGTGCTGATTGTCACTGCAAGTGAGCCCTTTCCTATTCTAGTCTTCTCTACCCGCGTCTCCGTTTTTTTTCCTTTTCTTCTTCACCGTTTTCTTTTTCGGCTGCCTGTATCGTGAACTTTCTCCCCCACCTTTCTCTTTTGTGTTTCTTTTCATCTCCGTTTCATCGTTCCCTCCAATTGTTCATGCTGATGATTGAAACGTGGCCATCACACCTACTGATTCTCCATTCTGCTCCCATACGGTCTTAACAACCACTCCTTTACGCACCGTTCGATCTCTACTTTTCCCTCATTGCCTTCAGGCTCCCCCTTCCTCTCCCCCCTTCCCTCCCTGCGTCTGCGCATGGGCGACTCGCAGGGCGCCGCGATGGGCGAGTGTGAACCTGGGCATATTCATGTGCATCCAGTGCTCCGGCATCCACCGCAGCCTCGGAGTCCACATTTCCAAGGTGGGTGGCTTTCACCACCGTGCACGCACGCCGCACGCGCATGCGACCACACGCACATGCGACCACACGGACCCGCACGCACCCATACTCACGATTTCCAGCCTGCCCGCAACCCCTCCCCCTTCCGCCTCTTTCCTGTCCCTCTCTTTCGCACACTCTCTTCTCCTGCCTCCTTGATTTCGTTCATACCTTATTCAGACCTCTCTAACGTTCTCTTTTCCGTAATGGCTTCTGTGCCATGCCATGCCATGCCACGCCATGCTATTCCATGCCATGCCATGCTGTGCTGTGCTGTGTTGTTCCTCGCACCCAGGTCCGCTCGGCCACTCTGGACACATGGTTACCGGACCAAGTGGCATTCATGCAAGGTCTCTCTATTTCTCTCCCTCTCATTCCCCCCCCCCCCCCCTCTATTTTGACCTTTTCTTGTAACCGTTATCCTTAGCCTCCCCGCTTCATCTTTTTTCTCAAGTCGATCCGACCTGTTGCACTCTTCCCCCCCCCACACTTCTCTCCCCCCCCCCACACTTCTCCCCCTTTCCTCCCCCCCCGTCACCCTGTCCCTCCCCCCTCTTCCCCCAAGTCCTTCTCCGCTCCCCATCCTCCCTTCCTTCTCACCCCCTTCGCCTCTGCACTGCCTGCCCGCACCTTCCTTCCACACTGAAACTTCCCGTTAATTTTCAAAATCAGCTCTCAGTTTCCAGCCATGTGCAATGATTGCTGCTGCTCTCACCCTTTCAAGTGTTCCAATGGTCCATGCAACCTGGCCTGCTCTGTCTTGTCTTTCCATGTTCCTGACAACTCGTGTAAGCTCTCCTCTCCCGCCTGCCGACCATCGCAGCCATGGGCAATGCCAAGGCGAACGCGTACTGGGAGGCCCGTCTTCCGCCCTCCTTCCGCCGCCCCTCTGAAAACGACAAGATTGGCCTAGAGAGTTTCATTCGTGCCAAGTAGGTGCCAAGTTCTTGTCCCACTCTGCTCCTCTCCCCCTCTGCTCCTCTCGCCCTCTTCCCTTTCACCTCCCTCCCTTCCAGTGATTTGGTTGCCTGTATATCTCCTTTCCCCCACCCCTCCCCCTTCTTTTTCTTATATATCTATGTAGATGTATAATCCTTCTTGCTATCCTTTCTCTTTTCGATGTACCATTTTATGGGTAGTTCTTGTGTTTCTTGAATTGCCGAGCAGGTACGAGCAGAGGCGGTGGGTGGGGTCTGAACCCCCGCGAATCACCAACGCATCTAACAGTGCCGCTGCTGCTGGTGCAGGGAGGGAGGGACAGATGCAAGGGGGTCCAGGGCAGCAGCAGCAGCAGCAGCAGCAGCAGCAGCAGCAGCAGCAGCATCGCCATCACCACCATAGCCATCACCATCACCTCCACCACCATCACCATCACCACAGGGCAGAACGAGCTGATTCGGCAGCAGCAGCAAGGCGTGAGGAGGTGAGTGAGAGAGTGAGTGAGTGAGTGAGTGGGTGAGTTAGTAGGTGAGTGAGTGGGTGAGTGAGCGAGTGAGTGTGTGGCTAAGTTGGATCTTACGTTTTCGGTTCCTTACGTTTTCGGACAATTACGACAATTTTTACGTTTACGAACGATCGCCCTGATTCGGCCTTACGTTTACGGTCACCTAAAAACTTTTCTGAGCTGCCTGAGGAAAAAAAACGACCAGAGCATCAGGAAGGTTCCCTCCAATCTAGTCCTGTAACTCGCGATCTTGTTCGACGTCAACCTATTGTGTTTCTCTTTTACTAACCAGGTCAACGCTGAATTTGAAACTTTCACGGACTTGAAAGGCGCTCCTTACATAGTAAAGTTGCTATTCTATAAAGGCACACGACAAATTAGTGGTAGGATCTGGTTGGTACCCGTACACAATCCAGAAAAAAATATCACATTATATTTTTTTTTCCTGCCCGCCTCATACTTACGCGCAATTTTACGTTTTCGTTTACGTTTGCGCTAAATTATGCGAAATTTACGTTTACGCTAAATTGCGCGAATTTTACGTTTACGAGACCTCAAATAACGTAAGGGACCAACTTAGGTGTGTGGTGAGTGAGTGAGTGAGTGAGTGAGTGAGCGAGTGAGTGGGTGAGTGAGTGAGCGAGCGAGTGAGCGAGCAAGTGAGCGAACAAGTGAGTGAGTGAGTAAGTGAGTGAGAGGTGAGGCTGTTTGTTATTGAAGTGGCCGGTACGGGTCATTGGGGTTGCTGAGCTTCAGTGGGTTAGTAGGTACGTTCGGCTGGCAGAGTGTGGCCTGGATGGAGAGGAGAAGAAAATGAATCACGTCAGGTGGTTGCTTGGGGTACAGCTGCCTGCAACAGTGCATTCAGACCAAACTCTGAGGGATCAGACAGCGTGCTTGGTGCCATGCCAAGCCATGCCAAGCCATGCCAAGCCATACACGTTGTCGTTCTAAACAAGTTTTTTGCAGTCTAGTCATTATTTCCTCTGGAGCACCTGCCATCTCTCATTCCCCCCTCCTCCCTCCCCTCCCAATTTTTTACTCCCCCCACCTTTTCGGCCTCCCCCTCTCATCCCTCCCTTATCCCCCCCATCTACTCAATCCACAGGGTCGCAACCACGGTGGTGTTCAGTCATCAGCCAAGCCTGTTCCTACTACTGCCGCTGCTGCAGCTACTGCTACTGCTCCTGCTGCTAGCGCACCTTCCTCAGCCCCAACACGAGCATCCGCCTCTGCCACCCCCTCCCCTGCACCATCTCCGTATCGCTCCCCTGCCCAGCCTGCTGCTCCACGCGAACCAGCTGATCTCTTTGACCTCCTCTCTCTCAACGATCCCTCTCCTGCTGCCGCTCCTGCTCCTGCTGCGCCTGCTCTTACCAGCACCACCACGATCACAACGGAGTGGACTGCCTTTTCAGGTATGGGTCGCTGTTTTGAGATGTCTCAAAACCGATGCGCCTTCTCTTATCAGCACCACCACGGTCATGACAGAATGGACTGCCTTTTCTGCTCTTATCAGAACCACCATTAGCGTGCCCCCCTTGCGGCATGGCTTCTGAAATTTCAGGTGGAACAAGAAATGACTGATCTGAAATAGCAGCGTAAGAAGTGCAGTGGAAGTGATCGAAAGTGCAGTGGGTGGGAAGTGAAAGAAAGTGCAGCGGAAGTGAACAAGTGAAACAAATGAATGACCTGAACCGGACTCACCATGAACGGCCGTTTATCTCCCCCTCTCCTTGATTCTCGTTTCTTTGTGCCACAGACACAACCCCTTCCACCATGGCATCCTCTGCCGTGCAACCAGCAGCAGCAGCCACTGCTGCTGGTTCTTGGTCCTTCACCACTCCCACTGCTGCAGCTGCTGCTACGGCCGCTACAGCCGTTGCACCAGCTGCTACCACTATGCCGGCCATGTCTACAGCCACCAGCGGCAGTGCCAAATCAGACATCCTCAGCCTGTTCGAGGTCCGTGTTCTCCTCCCTGCCCTCCCGAATTACCTGTCCTCCCTGCCCAGGCTGCCCTCCCGAACCTACCTGTCCTCCTGAACTTCCGTGTCCTTTCCGTCCTTACACCAGTAATCTGTTGATTGGTTACCGACTGACATTGTCTTTTATCTCATTGCCAACTTCTTTTCATCTCATTCCTCCCTTGTCCTCGTCCCTACTTCTGCTGCTATCCTCTCTGCTCTGCTTGCGCGTCGTCATTCAGACACCCATGGCAAGCCCCTACGCTCAGCATCAGCAGCAACAGCAGCAGAAAATGATGATGATGATGCAGCAGCAGCAGCAGCAGCAGCAGCAGCTGCAGCAGCAACAGTATGTGGCAGCAGCGGGAGGGGGATGGGGCCAAACTGCTGGTGCTGGTGGAAATGCCATGTGGCATGGGGGAGGTGGGGGGTTGCAGATGCAGCAGCTGCAGACCCAGTACAACATGCATATGCATGCAGGGTCAGTGCATTCTCACTTACATTCATCATTTCATCGTTTCTATTTCATGTTGCTCTCTCACGATGCCTTCCCCATGCCAAGGCATAACTTCGACAACTGCTGTTTCATATTGATTGGCAATTTTACTTGCCACATCCATACCGCTTTGATTCCTTGCTTCTTTTTCCTGTACTTCCACCCATCTCCATATTTCCACACACACTCACCCACTCACCTTCGTTTCCCCCAACCCCTAAACCCTTTATTTCAGCAGAGCACATGCCATGTCCCAACCCCAGTTCCCTGGAACATACATGCACTCTGCCACTTACTTGAACCCTGCCGCCGCTTCGACTGCTGGAGCGTACAGTGGTTACTCGGGCGGTTACCCCACACAGCCTATGACGCCTCCTAGCATGCCACATGTCAGCCCAGGATTCGCCAGCGGAGCGCCGGGGGTGCTCGCGGCAGGGCCTGTGTCCCCTGTGGCTGCTGCGGCTCCTGCTTATGACTTCTCCTACCTCACTGCAGCAGCTGCTCATGGCGTCTAGGGAGAGAGCAGGGAGAGAGCAGGGAGAGAGCAGGGAGAGAGCAGGGAGGGAGCAGGGAGAGAGCAGGGAGAGAGCAGGGAGGGAGCAGGGAGAGAGCAGGGAGAGAGCGGGGAGGGAGCAGGGAGAGAGCAGGGAGAGAGCAGGGAGGGAGCAGGGAGAGGGCAGGGAGAGAGCAGGGAGAGAGCAGGGAGAGAGCAGGGAGAGAGCAGGGAGAGAGCAGGGAGAGAGCAGGGAGAGAGCAGGGAGGGAGCAGGGAGAGAGCAGGGAGGGAGCAGGGAGAGCAGGGAGAGAGCAGGGAGGGAGCAGGGAGAGAGCAGGGAGAGAGCAGGGAGAGAGCAGGGAGAGAGCAGGGAGAGAGAAGGGAGAGAGCAGGGAGAGAGCAGGGAGAGAGCAGGAAGAGAGCAGGAAGAGGGCGGGGAGGGCAGGAATAGGGCAGAGAGAGGGCAGGGAAAAAGCAAGGGGAGGGAGCAGGGAGAGAGTAGGCAGAGTGGGATGTGTGGGGTGGGTAGTAGTGGTACTGTTGTGAGTGCTGCAGGTATTTAGTACACTGTTTCTACTGTTGAGAAGTGTTCATGAGGCTGTAGCTTGGCGCACCTTCTGACTAACAGTGCGCAGGGGGGGAAGAGCGGGACGCCTGGAGGAAGGCCTTTGCAAGTGTCAGCTTGAGGGGTGTCTGAGGGTCAACCACTTGGGATGAATGCTTAGTGGTTTAGCTAGTCTATCATTGTTATCTGCTGCAGCTTCAAAGGGGAAACTGGTGCCTCTCTCGTGCCCAGGTGCTGCTGTTGAAAGGTTGTGCATTCCAGTTCTGCTGTGTTTAGTCTACTTACTGTGCTTTGTGGGTGGGCGTGTGACCCTGACTAGTCAGTTTTGTTTGTCTGCCTCGACAGCGGCACAAGAATCGCATCTGTGCTCTCAGCTTTAACTTGCAAAAAAAACTAGAAAAAGAATGGTACTGTGCTTACCGGTCCTGATTTCACTTTCTACTGCAGTCCCTTCAGGTAGCAACACAATCTACAGTATCTCATTGCTGACACGTGTATGACATTGCTGACACGACAGTGTGCAAGGTTTTGCGCTATGCTTTGTTTGTTGAAGTTGTTGCCCTCTGGCTCTTACATTCCAATCTGCTGAAATACAGTAAACAGGTCTCTCACGCCATTCCTTCTCCAATAGCATTTGTCCAGCCTGGACTTTGAGGATGTAGACCTGGCTGAGACTCGGTGCCTGCAAAAAGATATCAAATTTATGCTTAGGCTCGATCTCTTCACGGGTTTAGTCGCAAAAACATTTGCGACTCCCAAGAATTTTCTCAACAACCATCTCCTTGACACCGACAACGTCGTTGAAAACCGTCGACGAAAACAAAGCGCATGTTTCGCTCACTTCCCCACTTGTGACCATGGATGGGCAGTGGGCACAGCACACTGCTTCAGCGGAGGAAACGCGTGAGCAATGAGCATGCTCCACAAGCTACCTATACTTAGGGTCTGGAGCAGGGCTGTCGATATCCCTGGGGGCAGAACTTGAGGCCCCCAGCTGCTGAGATTCTGACCCTGATTTTCAGGGAGGTGACCGAATTTTCGCCCTTAACGGTCACGGGTGCAGGCCGAAGTGTACCTTGAAATCCGGGCTCCAATGTGTTGTGTACTTAACTAACCTAAACAGCATCATAGACAAGAAAATCACATACTTCTCACTACTAACTACTCCAGTCAACCTGTATGTCACAACTTCCAACTACAACTACAGTTGCACTACCTACTGTATTTCTACTCATCTCCTGACTTCGACACTACACAAACACTAGATTGGATAAAATCGAGTGAAACATCCTTACCTGTAGCCCTATTGTGCAACTTTCATGGAGAGGGGGGGGTAGGGGAGGGGGGTGTTAGGCAGGATTTTAGGGGGTGGTCTGCGGAACCGAAAGTAGAACTTTGATTCAGGTGACGGCCCAGATTGAGCACTTAACGCGTCCGGGGAAGGGCCAAACGATGCCCTTAACTAGCATGGGTGCCAGTCAAATAAAACCCTTAAAATGGTCGAGATGCGCCAAACATAGCCTGGAATGTTCAGGGCATTAAGGGCAAATGCCCTTGAATCGACAGCCCTGGTCTGGAGTCTGGACAAGCGGTCCTATGGCACATCTTTCCACAACACGGAACTTTTCGTTGATCTGCCCAACCTCATTTCCCAGCCCCAGCTCATCATCTGCACGACACATTTCTCTTCCTGTTTCCTCGCAACGCAAACTACAGTTCAGCGAGGATGGTGGGAGAATGAAGAACGGGTAGTTGAGGCCTATTTTCCGTTACAACACAAACCCACCCGCGCTCCACAGAGGAATCGTGCCTGTGTGCACCAGGTTCAGTTGACACTGTTTGCAAGAAATGCATTGCACCGCAAGCAATCCCCGAGCATCGAATCGCGAATCCCGAATCGCGACGCAACCAGACACCTCCCCAAATCCAACCCGGCTAGAAGAATTCGAGCATACTAAAGGTCGCAAATTTCTTCAGGCAAACCATTCTACATCCACAGGAGCTAGTAGTACCATCATACTCCCTCGCTTACTGAGTCATTTATCACAACCCCCGACACACGCAATTCTGCATACGCGATTCAGCATTCCACCTGTCCTCTCCTCTGGCAATCCCTTACCGAGAGTCTCGAGAATGGCTCCACGCCTTTCCAGTCTTCCTTTATTTCTAGTCATTATCTCCATGATCGCTCTCTCGACAACCCCAGCCCTCGCGGCGCGTCACCGAGCAGCTCCCACCGAGACATTGCTGCAGAAGGCTGTCAAAGCGCGAGCTCTCGCCGACAAAGCCGCCGCAGCAGCCACAGAGGCCGAGGCGATCGCGGAGCAGCGCAGACAAGACGAAGCCGCGGCGCTCGCCGACCTCAACGCCGCCATAGCCGCCGCGGACGCCGCCTCCGCCGCGCTCACCGCCGCGAGAACCGGCGCGACGTCCGCGGCCGCGGCGAAGGGAAACGCGAAGAAATCTCTCGACGCCGCGAAAAAGCAGCTCGACGAAATGAAGAAAGCGCGCGAAGTGAAGTCGAAGAACGTTGACAAGAAAAAAGCTGACGTGAAAACCGCAGAGGCGAAGGTCAAAGCGGCGCAGCAGAAGCTAGACAAAGTCAACGCGGAGAAAACCAAGCAGGAGAAGATCGCGGCGGACGCGAAAGCAGCGAGCGACGCGGCGGAGCAGGAGGCGAAGAAGAAGAAGGGCGACAAGGCGTTGGCGAACAAGGCGAAGAAAGCCGGCGACGACGCGAAGAAAGCCAAGGAGCAGGCCGACGCGCTCGCGAAGGAGGCGCTCGCGGCGGAGCAGGTGCTAGCGGCGGCGGAGGACGCGGCGGAGAAGGAGCAGGACGAGGCGAGCGCGGCGGAGAGCGCCAGCGCGCCGTCGGACGCGGAGCTGGAGAAGGAGGACGAGGTGGCGGAGGCGGCGGAAGACGCACAAGAGGCGGAGGCGGCACAGAAGGCGGCGGAGGTCAGCGCGAAGGACGCGGAGAAGGCGCTCAAGCGCGCGCTCGTGGCGGTGAAGCAGGCGCGCGCGGCGTGGAAGAACAAGAACGCGCTGCGACTGGCCGCGGAGAAGAAGGCGGCGCAGAAGGCGGCGATCGCGGCTGCGTTCGACGCCAAGGCGGACGCGGCGGAACGCGCTGCTGGCATTGTCGCCCCTCCCTCCGCGCCCGCATCCCAACCTGCGCCTGGCTCGCACCCCGCGCCTGGCTCGCACCCCGCGCCTGGCTCTAATCCCGCGCCTGGATCTAATCCCGCGCCTGGCTCTAATCCCGCGCCTGGCTCGAAACCCGCGCCTGGCTCTAATCCTGCGCCTGGCTCTAATCCCGCACCTGGCTCTCAAGCCGCACCTGGCTCTCAAGCCGCACCTGGCTCAAACCCTGCACCTGGCTCGCACCCTGCACCTGGTTCGCAGCCCGCACCTGGTTCCACACCTGCTTAGGATTCGCACCCTGCGCCCAGTTCTACTGCTTCGCCCTTGAGAACTTCTCGTGCCGAGTAGGAAGGTTGTATATATGTGAGTGTTCATGAGACACCGCTATGCTGTAAGGTGAATATAATGTATGCCCAAGTTACAACGCAATTTTGACCTCAGGGGACATTCCTGTAGGGACACAAGTGTCTCAATCACTTGGTGACAAACGAAAACGACATAAAATGTATTGTGTCCGAAACGAGAGTCGACTTTCAGCGACCAGTGCTGAATTTTTAATTTGCCAGCATGAAACGCGCTGACGTCGCTGATGAATTGTGAATCGACCCGTCATTGTTAACAAACAGCACGCTGTCAAAATGAGGAATGATGATGCCATTGATGTTGGTTGGGGTACATATAACAAACCCTAACTTCTGTACCCCCTAAGACAAACCTCACTACAGGCTACAACATTTGACACACCCCCATAGCCTAAGTGAGGGGTGTCTAGCAAAATAAAAAAAAGAGTACGGTCACAAGACCAGTCCAAAAGAAAACAAAGCTCAGGGTGGATCACAACGTCACCACACTCTCTGAGCACAAGCAACAGTGGCCACAAGGCCAGTCCAAGAGATCACAAGTATATATAGCAAGAGTACAGACAAAGCAGGCAATAAACGCAAGCCTACACATGACTAGAACCTGTGTCAACAAGGCCTAACTGCACACAACACCTCTGGTGGTCACGAGGCGGAAGCGCCTTGGTGAAGATGTCTGCAGTGTTGGCCTCGGACTCCACAAACTCGAAGCGAGCCTGTCCACGTCTCTGCAACTCTCGCAGAAGAAAGTACCTGACGTGAATGTGCTTCACTCTGCTCTCCAGTCGCGGCTCACGACAGAGGAGGATCGACGCCTTGTTGTCAGTGAACAAGGTCGGTGCAGAGCTCGGCCGCTCACCAAGGTCGGCGAGCAAGAAGGTCAACCAACGCAACTCCTGTGCCGCCATGGCACCAGCGTAAATCTCAGCCTCAGCTGTAGAGGTCGAGACAGAAGAGGAGCGCGTGGAACGCCAGGAAACAGCTCCAGAACCCAGACTGAAACAGTACCCCTGAGTAGACCTGTGAGTCTCAGCGTCGTCAGCGTAAGAGGAGTCACAGTGACCAGTGAGTACGACAGACTGCTGCCCTCCAAGAACTAGCCCCACGCCTGATGTAGTCGCTAGGTACTTCGCCACCCTCACAGCTGCCGTCCAGTGAACAGGACGGTGTCTCCCTGGCGCAACAAAGCGCGCAAGGATGCTGAGAGGGAAGGCGAGGTCCGGGCGAGTACAAGTCATCATGTACATGAGGCAACCCACAAGCTCTGCGTAGGGACCACTAGGCTCAAACGGCTCGTCAGGAAAGGGACCAGTGAGTCTGTGGTCAACAGCGAGAGGAGTGCGCTGTACGGTGGAGTGCTGAAGCCCGAACCGCTGAAGGACCTGCTGCACCATGTGTGACTGTGAGAGTGTAATGGTGCGAGCGGCTCTGTCCCTGGTGATCTGCAGGCCAAGGTAGTGGCGCAGCTCACCAAGATCAGTGCACGTGTGTCTCTTCTGCAGTTCGGACTTCACGTCTGCCAAAGCAACCCTGTCCGGAGTGGCGAAAACGAGGTCGTCGACGTAAACCAGAACAAAGAACGGTGTGGAGCCACGACGAACGAACAGCGACGGGTCGGCAGAAGACGGCTGGAACCCAAGGTCAGAGAGGGTAGAACGCAGAGTGTCGTGCCACTCACGAGGGGCCTGGCGAAGACCGTAAACAGGTCGCCTCAGCCTCCACTGGGTCCCAAGAGGGAAGGTGCCAGTGAAGGCCGAGGGACGACGCTACCAGACCTCCTCGTGTAGGCTGCCCTGAAGGAAAGCAGTGGAGAAGTCGAGAGAGTGTAACTCGTAGTCTCTCTATGCTGCTACGTGTAGTAACACCCGAAGAGTGGTCATCTTCGGGGTAGGTGCGAAGGTCTGAAAGAAGTCAACTCCCTCACGCTGACTGAAACCTCTAGCCACGTAGCGCGCCTTGAAGACCGGGGGAGATCCCAGTGGCCGCTTCACCCTGTAGATCCACATGCCGTCGACTACGTTCGCCCCAGGGCGGGGAACCTCATCGACGTAGGTGCCTGTGGATCTGTAGGAAGCCATCTCTGCGTCCATGGCAGCTCTCCACTGAGAGGCCCAAGGCCCTGACACTGCCTCAGCGTAAGTGCGAGGAGTCGGAATGTCAAGGGCGTCGGGGTCACCCTCAGGGGCGAGGAGCATGGCACAGAGATGAGGGGAAGCGGCCGCCAGGAACTCTAGCTCAAACTGCCTGTCCTCTAGGGCGTCACAGCCAAGGGCAGACACACCCCCGACGGCCAGAGGACTGGTAGAAGGAGCAGCCACAAGCGTGGTGGCGTAGTCAAGGCGGCGGGTAGAGGCAAAGTCAGTAACTGCGGCAGTAAGAGCGGACACAGAGGACACAGAGGCACGAGGGTGAGTAACAAGAGAGGCGAGAACACGAGAGAGAACAGGACGGTACGTGCGGTAGTAGTCAGTGACAGGAGTAGGGAGCGACACAGTGAGGGCCGACTCAGGAGGAGACGGAAGCACAGACTGAGTCGGACGAGGTGGACTAGAAAGAAGGAAGGTAGTACGAAGGTCAGTGAAGGGAACAGGAGACGAGGGACGAGCACGAGGGGAGCGACGAGTAGCCCAAGAACAAGACGGAGGAGGAGAGGACAAAGGCGGAGAACTGGGGAAAACAGCGGGGGAGGAGTCAGGAGGAGGAAACGTGGGACCGTAGACAGGAGGAGAGGCGGAGGAGGGAGGAGAAGGGGAGGGGAGACCAAGGGTCCGAAGACCCGAGACAGGAGGAGGAAGTGGCTGCTGCTGCTGCTGCTGCGACTGCTGCTGCTGCGGAAGCGGCTGCTGCTGGGACTGCTGCTCCTGCGGGTCCAGCTGCTGCTGCTGCTGCTGCTGCTCCTGCGGCTCCAGCTGCTGCTGCTGCTCCTCCAGCCGCTGTAACTCCCTCTCCTCTCTCTCCAACGCCAGCTGCTCGTCACGGGCACGGCGAACACGAGCCTGGTGCCTAGTCGGGTAGGGGTGGGGGGGCGGAGTAGTGTCCGAAGCAGCGGTAGCTCCAGAGTCCACCCCCGAAGAACCAGGCGCACCACCCCCAGAGGCAGCACTAACACCAGCTCTAGACCCAGGCTCACCAGAACCCGAAGGAGGCGCACTCTCACCCCCAGTGTCCGCGCGACCAGCATTAGCTCCCGGACGACAAGAGTCCTCTGCACCCACCGGGTCAGCTCCAACTCCAGAACCAGAAACTCCAGCTCCAACTCCAGCTCCAACCCCAGCACCCCCAGAACCAGAAACTCCAGTGCCAACTCCAGCTCCAACTCCAGCTCCAACTCCAGCTCCAACTCCACCACCCCCAGAACCAGAAACCGGTACAGGAACAGGCGCAGCACCAACCTCTCGAGAGCTAGCACCTGCGGCACGCTGCGAGGAGGACTGTGGGGAGGGAGGCTGTACCGGAGAGGCTACCGAAGGAGGAAGGGTAGCCTGGGACACACCCGACGGGGCTGGACCAGGGGGGGGAGGCTGTACCGGGGGAACAGGAGGGGGAGCGGCAGTCGGGAAGAGGGGGGGAGGAGGAACCTGGAGACCTCGATTGGGGTACCTGACGTAGTACGGAGTGGACTCCTCGAAACGGACGTCACGGGAGTCAAAGAACCGGTGAGAGGGAGGGTGGTAAAAGGTGAAGTCAGAGGAGTCCTCAGGGAAACCAAGGAAGACACAGGGGACGGCACGAGGCGAGAGCTTGTCCGCGGAGGTGTCGCGGACAAGAGCCAAGCACCCCCAGACACGAAACCGCGACGCAACACCAGGGGACCCTGTCCAAAGACTGGTCGGTGAAACCTCTGGTCGAGAGACACGTGGCCAGAGGTTCAGCTGGTGCGCGGCGTACCTGACCGCGTAGGGCCACAGAAAATGGGGGGCACAGGCGTGAGTCAGGGAGGTGCGGGCGATCTCCATGACCAGGCCTATGCGGCGCTCAGCAACCCCATTCTGCTGTGGGGACTCTGGAAGCGTCCAGGACTGACGAATGCCCTGCTCGCGACAGAATCCAGCGAGAATGCCGGAGCGAAACTCACCCCCACGGTCGGAGTGGAGGCAGCTCACACGACGACCACGAGTGTCCTCGGTGGTGAGCAACCACCTGATCAGCGTAGAAGTCACCTCAGACTTCTTCGCCAGAGGGAACACTGTGGTGTAGCGGGAGAAGTCGTCAACGACCACCAGAAAGTAGCGCTCACGCTCAGGGCCTAGACGAGGGGCGGGGCCCCAGACGTCCAAGTGAAGCGTCTCAAAAGGCTCGGTGGCCGGACGAAGGGAGGAGGAGTGAGGGGCGGCGCGCAGCCGACCCTCGACGCAGGGACGACACGGCGGCGCAAGCGAAGGCGGCAGCGACGGCAAGACATGTGGGAGGCCTAGGACAAGACGCTGACTAGACATAGCGCGCAGACGAGGAAGGGACGGGTGCCCCATCCGGTGGTGCCACAGAACGGTGGGGTGGGCAAGCGACCGGCAGGAGCACGACGCAGCAACTGGAGCAGACGTAGGAACCTGACACGACACAGACACCTGGGGGGACGAAGCAACCTGGTGAGACGCGGGGACCCGAACGGGGGGGGGAACCGGGGGCAGTGGCAGTAGGGGCGGCTGCTGCTGCGGCGCACGCGGGCCAGTGTGAAGAGTGTAGAGACCTGAGCCCGGCTCAGCAGTAAAGGTAGCAAGAGGCTGGTAAGAGTCTCCGTCAACACACACCGCAGTCTCTCCAGAAGGCTCAAACCACACACCCACGTGCTGACTCACGAGGGGTCGCACGCCCACCAAGTTCCGGGAGAACGAGGGGACGTGAAACCCAGTGAGAGACCCGGAGGGAGCAGCAGGACACGGTAAAGTGGTAGTGTGACGTGCAGTGACTGGTCCCGTAGTGGGATCAGCC